CCCCACCCCGCCTCACTCCGCCCCACCCCGTCGCGGCACGCCGTGCCATGCCGACCAGCGGAACTGGCCACTGTCAACAAAAAGAGGCCCAAAAGTTCAGTGGTTTCGACTTTGCAGAACCGTGTGGAAGAAAGTCGTTCGAAACTGCAATAATGGGGTGGTGGAACTGCTGCGGTTGTTCGCGTACCGGGTGTACGAAAGCGTGGTCGCTGCAGTGTAGCGGGTTTGCCAACGCCCGGCGGCACGGTCTCTGCGACCCTTGAGGGTATGCAAGCCAACAGCACTGCAGTGGCCGCTCTCTCTTATACATCCGGCGCAGTCCAGAATATTCAGTTCTGAACGGTAGACTACGGCCGGGTAGACAGTAGCGTTGTGGATGGCTGGGCGCTGCTGGCCGCTGCTAGGCGCGCTGCGCTCGGCGCCCAGCTCGCTCGGCTGGCCGGTCGGACGGACGGGGCGGCTGACCTCCACGCCGTCTCGCCTCGCCTATCCTTGTCGCTCTCACACGAGCCCTGCAGCGCGGCAGCGGCGGCAGCGCCTCACCTCGCGGCCCGCGCTGCACCGACCCAAATAAACATCGTTTGGCGGGGAATCGCTAATTGTCATATCACCAGTGGTCTAACCCGCGCGCTCTCCTCCTCAGCTGATCGGCTCAGAACGAAAAAAATGCGCGTTCCGCATCGGGAGACTTCCTTCCCTGTCCCTGCTACCTCCGCCTTGGGTAAGCCGTGCCTCGATCAAGTAGGCCGCACCTCTGCCCCCCCCCCTCCCAGCCCGCTGCCCCGCCGGCCCTACGCCTAGTCCAGACAGTCCAGACGCACTCTGTTTTGAAGGCTGTGTCGATGTGTTTCGAAAGTGGCGGGCGGGCGGCTGCCACCGCTACCACTGCTGCCCCACCGCACTCGGGGGAAGCAGGGTGGGGAAAAGAAGGGGGGGGGGGAGATAGGGAGATGGGGAAAGGAGGGGAAGGGGCTCAGTTTGTTTCTAGAATGAACGGAGAGAGAAAGAGGGACGAGGGACGGCGAGAAAGGAGTGGGGCGGGTGCTGTTGAATAACCCGCTCCCTATCATGCATGCGTTTGCCGACAAAGTAATTAGCCGGCCACCCACACTCCCCGCCACACCTCGACCCGCACGAAGGGCCTCCTGTTCGGCCTCCACGCTGGAGACGCGCCATGGACCTGGACGCGGCACTCGATAACGCCTACCCCGCACCGCACGTCGCAGCCGCCCCCCGCGCGGCGTCGCCGCTGCCGGTCTCTCACCCCCCGCTGTATCTTCTGCGCACATCGCCCCATCTCGATTCGGAGGTTACCTGTGCTGCCGCGGCGCGCAGGGCAAGACGGCCGGCATGGGCCGCGGCCCGAGGTTGCCTG